TTCCTGGGTCATTTGTATTTATTTGTGGCCTCACTCACACACACACACACACACACACATTCTTCACATTACTCTTCATTATGGAGGCCGTCCAGGAGGCCTGAGAGTCTCGGAGCATTAGCATGTTAAAAGGCCCGCGGGTCGTCACACACACACACACACACACTGGCGCTGTGACCCGCCCCACCCAGCAGGCATTTCTCAGGCTCTGTTGAGGTCGTCATGGCGACTCAGTGCTTAACAAAAGCATTTCTCAGCGGCATTATTCACACGCAAGAGAAAAGACACCGAAAGACATGGAGGAGGGGCGAGAGACACACACACAACAGCAGAGAGAGAGAGAGAGTGAAGGTGAACACGAGGAGGTGAAGTTCTGACTGATGACCCCAGAAACACACTCAACACACAGACGAGAGACCGAAACCAGCCTGACCGCCGAAAACACACTGCAACACGCTAAACGCTCAAACCACAGCAACCACGATAGCAGAAAACACAGCAGTGATCAATTAATAGCCAAATAAAGCCATTCATTCGACTAAAGTTACACACCACAAACAACTACAGCAACAAACAATAGCTATAATGATGCCTACAACATTAATTAAAATAACTGTTACAATAACTATAATGATAACAATAACAATATCTATAATGATATAATTATATCTAAAATAATTATAATGATAACTATACCTTTAATGATAACTACAACTATAATTAAAATAACTATAATGTTAACTATAAAAATAGCGATAACTAAAACAATAATAATTATAACGATAATGACAAATATAATGATGAAATTAAAACTAAAATAATTATGATACCAATAACTAATGATAACTATAACGATAACTAGAGTACAACGATAATTAATAACTATAAGGATAACTATAGTAATAGCGATAACTGAAATAATTATAATGATAACAATAACTATAATGATAACTACAACAATAAATAAAATACCTATGATGATAACTAACTATAACAATAACGATAACTAAAATATTATAATGATAACAATAACTACAATGATAACTAATAACCATAACAGTCTTAATAACTACTCAAACTCTAAGAAAGTACTTTCGTGATATAGTTTTAATAATCGCTATAAAATAGTGAAATCCACACCACAACTATAACATTATAATAGTAACTATAACAATGATAATGACTATAATAACAATTTATGTATGAAACAGCTTTAATAATCAACACAATTTTACCAAAACATTATCTATAATGAAACTATAATAATAAAAATAACTGTAACAATAACTATAACCATAGTTTCAATAATCACTCTAAGAGAATGGCTATATATATATTTAACCATAAAGTTTTAATAATCGCTCTAAAGGAGAATAGACTATACTACTAATAACTATAACGATAATTATACTAATACAACTATATAACCATACAGTTTTAATAATCGCTCTAACTTTAGGAGAATAGTGAAATCCACACCACACTTATAACGAAAACACTACAGAGGAATGATTTTATATTAGAAATAGATTTTTTAAGCTGATGAACAATGACAGCCAATCAGAATGCATCCTGCTGTTTTTATCTGTTGGTGTGGAGACTAATATCTCTATCGTCATAGTTTTAGTCATAGTTATGATGATAGCTATTATTATAATTATTATTATTATTATGACTTCAAGCTCATAAAGCAACTGCTTAGCAGGACTTGAAGACAACACTTAAAACATTAACCGAATAAACTTCTTCTAAAGAGCCTGATAACTAAATACAACATCTACGAGAACTTGAAGACAGCGTGTTCCTTCATAAGTGTCCTATAGAGAAAGCAGATGACTTCAGTTACACAAACACACCTCAGAAACACAACCAGCCACTTACTTTTAAGAAAGTTTGGGAAAGCCGTTTGAATTCATAGTGACTTTGAACATTTAACAGAGAGAGCAGAAGAACACTGAACACTGAAAGACATAAACACTGAATATCTAAAAGCATCTGTATGTGAACGCTCATGAACACAATTCCCATCTCAGTGTTTCATCGGTGAAAGCTTTACTGCTATTTACTGTGTGGCAGGGAAAGACACATCAGCATCTCATAATCTGCCAAACAGATGCTGGAAACATGATCATCTGAAGAGCAAACACACACTGAACCTGATGCACACGATACAAAACAACCTGCAGGCATCACAAACACTCACAGCACAAACACAATGACAGAAAAAAAACACACTCTCTCTCACTCACACACACACACACACACACACACATATATATATATATACATACACACACACGCACACACGCACACACACACACACACGCACACACACGCACTCACACGCACTCACATGCACTCACACACACACACACACACGCACACACACGCACTCACACGCACTCACATGCACTCACACACACACACACACACGCACACACACGCACTCACACGCACTCACATGCACTCACACACACACACACACACGCACACACACGCACTCACACGCACTCACATGCACTCACACACACACACACACACGCACACACACGCACTCACACGCACTCACATGCACTCACACACACACACACACACGCACACACACGCACTCACACGCACTCACATGCACTCACACACACACACACACACGCACACACACGCACTCACACGCACTCACATGCACTCACACACACACACACACACGCACACACACGCACTCACACGCACTCACATGCACTCACACACACACACACACACGCACACACACGCACTCACACGCACTCACATGCACTCACACACACACACACACACGCACACACACGCACTCACACGCACTCACATGCACTCACACACACACACACACACGCACACACACGCACTCACACGCACTCACATGCACTCACACACACACACACACACGCACACACACGCACTCACACGCACTCACATGCACTCACACACACACACACACACGCACACACACGCACTCACACGCACTCACATGCACTCACACACACACACACACACGCACACACACGCACTCACACGCACTCACATGCACTCACACACACACACACACACGCACACACACGCACTCACACGCACTCACATGCACTCACACACACACACACACACACACACACCTCTAGTGCGACACACTCCTCCTCAGCAGTATTTTTATCTCTCTCAGCAGGTGTGATGTGAGCACTGAGTGCTGCTCTCTGATTGGATGAGACGTGGCAGCAGCTGTTAAACACGTATGAATCAATCTATAAGTGCATACACACACACGCACACACGCACACACACACACACACGCTCAGGTGTCACTAGGGCCTCTTCCTCTTTCATTAAACACACTCTCGAGGCTCAGCGCTACAAAAACAAGTCCTGGCGCTGTGCTAACGGCCGCTAACAGCTCTTTACACCACTGATAGAGAGATGATCCGCGCTGGCCATCTGACCCTTGACCCTCACAGACACAAAGAGCAGCTGAACTGCATGTAAATCAGGGCTCAACAATGAGGATGTCCTGATGCCCGGGGCCACTGAGGGCCAGTGTATCCACTGCACCAGTGCTAAATCTCAACATTTGATGTGTTACGTTTTTATGTCTTACAGACTTACACAATCGGTCTTGGATATTTTGAATTATTGAGCCCTGTAAAATAAAGAGATGTTTAAACATCACTGACTGAGCGAGCGTTTCTGTCAGCACCATTAAAACTCTACAAAACAGACCTAGTCCTGCAGTTTTGTCTCATATTAATTGGCTTGTAATGCATCTTTTCTGTCAGAATGAACAAAAATCATGAATGCAGCTGAGCGTGTTTCTCCAGCGGCCGTCCATCAGGCCACAGTCACGCAATCACGTGAAGACCGACCACTGCACATTCATGACTAGCAGTTAATGCGCACTACACTGGATCTGCTTCAATGTCAAATAACCTGAAGCAAATGGAGACAGATCTGCTAAACCAACATCCATTCACTCGCTCATTTATTAATACCGAGCCACTGCATGTTGGAGCAAAGGTCATGTATTATACATCACTGCCGACCTACAAATGCACAGATGTCACGCAAGCGCTCAGTCCTACAAAACAAGCACATTGAAAGTAGTGGTCGACCGATATATTGCCAAGGCCGATATATCGGCTGATATTTGACATTTTTCAAATATCGGTATCAGCCGATAAGTTTATCTGTTTGGCCGATATGTCCGAGGCGGGACTTTTATTTTGACGGCTCTGAAAACGACAGCACACAGCGCTCACACTCATTGTCTGCTGTCACAATTTAAGAGTTCTTTCTAATAGGAATAGAAGTCTGTCTAATAATCAGATAGGATGTTAAACAAAGGAATTAAAAGCTATACAAAAAAGTACTATAATGATTGCTTTTATATTATTAGTAATAGAAAGGCAATCGTAATACTTTCTTGTTTACCCAGCATTTAGCAAATACACGTTTATATCATTTAAACAGATCTTTGAATGTCTGATAAGCATTTAATTTCACAAACCTTGCAGACTTAGCTGTGAGATCTTATAAAGTGCGCGTTTGTATCCTGCATGATCGCGTGTTTTCTGTGTGACGGTCAGTCTGTGCGAATTCAGCTTAATTTACACATTTATCATTTTCAAATTTCTTAAATATTAATTAGAATTAATAAAAATGATATATATACCGTATTGGCCCGAATATAAGACGACCCTGATTATAAAATGACCCCCCTTTTTCCAGATGTACCTTTTGGAAAAAGGCTTTTTAAAAAACAAATCTTGTTTTTTCTCAGTAAAACACATTTTGTCTTCAATTATTTTCATATTGCATATTTTTCCTATTTGAATTTTTGTTTTGAAAGTATGGTAAATATTCGGGTCAATACGGTATATCGGTTTTATATCGGCCACCCTGCTCTCTAAGATATTGGCATCGGCTGTCAAAAAACCAATATCGGTCGACCACTAATTGAAAGATCTGAAGCAGGTTCTTACCCGAGACGGAGATCTTCATGGACGCCTCCAGCGGTCTGTTGTTGTCCAGGGCTCGACTGAGTCGGATCTCTCCGGTGCTCTGGTTCAGAAGTACCAAATTCAGCTCGTTTCCAGCCTGGAAGCTGTAGTGGAGCTGATCGGAGATGTCCGGGTCGTGAGCCGGGATCCGGCCGATCACACCCGACGGGAAGCTGTTGGTCTTATCGGTTACATAGTTGTTAAATATAATCTGGAAGTTCTTGAGGACGGGGACGTTGTCGTTCTTGTCGATGAGTTTGATGTGGACCGTGGCTCTGCTGACCAGCGGCGCAGACGTGGCTTGAACTACGATGATATACTCCAAACGCGTCTCGTAGTCGAGGTCGGTCAGAGCGGTGAGCTCGCCGGAGAAGATGTCCAGTTGGAAGACCTCAGGGATGTTGCCTTCGACGATCTGGTACATGATTTGAGCGTTGCTGCCTTCGTCTGGGTCTGACGCAGATATGTGGGCCACCACGAGCCCGATGGGACTGTTCTCCTCTACGAAGATATCAAACTCATCTTTCTCGAACACTGGCGGGTTGTCGTTTACGTCTAAAACGGTCACCTGAATATCAACCGGCGTCTTGAGCGGCGGAACACCTTTATCCACCGCGAAGGCTTGGAGGTTATAAACGGGCGTGTTTTCTCGGTCAAGGCGTCGCAGGGTTCGTACGATCCCAGAAGTTGACTCGATGATGAAGTCTCCGTCTCCGTCTTCTCCACCCTGGAACGTGTAGAAGACGCGTCCGTTAAGGCCTGAGTCTCGGTCGGTCGCGGACACCTGCAGGACGCTGGTGAACGTGGGAATGTCCTCCATGACTGAGCCCAAGTAACGGTCGCGAAGGAACACGGGCGAGTTGTCGTTCACGTCGTTCACCAGGATCTCCAAGTAAGTGGTGTCGGATTTCTGCGGGATGCCGTTGTCTCGAGCCGTGATGGCGAGCGTGTAGGAAACTTGATCTTCGTAGTCCAGCTCCATCTGCGTGGTTACCGCACCGCTATCCGGGTCGATGTTAAACTGCGGGATGCTGTCGTCCATGAAGTACGTGATTCGAGCGTTCTCGCCTGTGTCCTCGTCCGTCGCGCTAATCATCACTACGATCGTCTCGACAGGCCGGTCTTCGTTGATGTTGACCGTGTAATGCGAACTCTGGAAAACCGGCCTGTGCGTGTTAGCGTCCGTTACGTTAACGTAAACCTTAGCGGTGTCGAAGCGCGTGCCGTCAGACGCCGTTACGGTGAGGACGTACTGTCTTTCCAGTTTATAGTCCAACGGTAGCGCGAGTGTAATCAGGCCTCCGCCGCTCTGGCTAGTGATGGAAAAACGGTTTCTCGTATTCCCAGTCGAGATCTGATACGTAACAACGCTGTTAATATCCTGATCGATGGCGGACACGGTGACGACACTCGTTCCTACAGCCGCGTCCTCGTTCAAACGCATGTAGTAGGCCTTTTGCGTGAACTCAGGGTTGTTGTCGTTAACGTCTAGAATAGTCATGCTGATGCTAGCGGACGAGGACATGGGTGGCGTTCCGTGGTCTCGCGCCTCCACTCCGAAGCTATAGAAGTCTACGCTTTCTCTGTCCAGTTCCGATGCTACGACGATCCAGCCAGTGCTGTTGTTGATGGTGAACGGGAAGTTGGGCGTGGTCTCTGTGAGATGATATTCCAAACGGGAATTATCTCCCGCATCGGCGTCTACGGCTTGAATATGAATGACGGAATATCCAACTGGAACGTTCTCCAGCACTGTAGCTTGGAATGGAGTGCTTACGAATATCGGAGCGTTGTCGTTAACGTCCAGTACTTGCACTGTGACAAGGCCGCTGATGTTGGAGAGCGGCGGGCGTCCGCCATCTTGCGCTCGAATGCGAAGCGTGTACTCTTTATTCATCTCGTAATCCAGCTGACTCACCAAATCTAATTTTCCCGTTTGGGCATCGATGTAAAACTGGCCCCTTGTGTTGCCGCTCATTATGCTAAAATGGACAACGGCGTTGTTCCCGCGGTCCTGGTCTGTCGCCGTCACCTGCAGGATTTCAGTGTTGGGCGTCAAGTCTTCGGGAACCTTAACGACATAGCGTTTCTCGCTGAACTGCGGCGCGTTGTCGTTATCGTCCTCCACGACGATGTGGACGGTCGCCGTCGCACTTCGGGGGCCGGGATCCCGTCCTTGGTCGTTGGCTTCGACTAGAAGCACATAGGATTCGACCGTTTCGCGGTCAACCAGTCCTCGCGTGCGAATAACGCCAGACCGGGAATCGATCTCAAAAACATCGTTAGTCCCATTGTTGTTGTTCAGCAAATGATAAAGGATGTTTCCGTTAACGGGAGCGTCGCCATCCGTGGCGCGCACAGTTAGAACCTCGTAACCAATCTCCAGATTCTCACGTACGCTTTCTTTATAATCCTGCTGCTCAAATACAGGGTCGTGATCGTTCGTATCGCTAACCGTTACAGTAAGAGTGGCCATTGCCGTACGTCGTGGCGTTCCATGATCAACCGCCGTGACCCTAAAAACATGCATGTCCTTAGTTTCTCTATCTAGTATCTCCACGGTGGAAACGACTCCGCTTGACGAGTCGACAGTGAAGAGATTGTTGGAGCGACTATCAAACAATGCCTCTAAGAAATATTCCAGCCTTCCAGCTTCACCCTCATCCGGGTCAAATGCTTTTAAAACAACAACAAAAGTCCCAGCTGGTTGATTCTCCGCAACGGACACCTGATACATGGGAGGCTGGAACTGAGGGTTATTGTTGACGTTCCTCTTCCTTCTGCTCAGCAGACCCGAGTTCGAACCCGCGGCCCGCTGCAGCACCTTCCTCAGGTGCGCTTGCGTGAAAGGGCCGCGGCCCACGCGCCAATGCGCATGCGCGAAACCACGACGTGCGCCTCTTTCGCAGCGCAGCGTAAACTCCAGCAACGAGTCGCGAGTGAAACACAGCGGAGCGGAAGTGAACAGCGTCCCTTTGGAGATATAAAGCGCTGAAGTCCCGGTTACGTTACAGTTGCCCGGTAACACACCAAACACCCGGAAAACAGCAGTGTTCGCCTCGCGGCACTTTGCAGTCGCGTCTGTTAAACTTATAATCTCCACGTCCAGGTTATTTGATTCCCGTTTGCGTTCCCTCCCGCAGTTCTTCGCGTGTACGTGCACATCATACCGACTCGTTACGAGGTGTCTAAAACCGGACGCGTTATCCAAACACTCCGCGACCGCGTACACGCTGAACGGGTTCAGAAGAACCGAGTCGCAGTTCAAAGCGTCAGAAAGAGTCAGAACACCCGCATACGGGCGCAGGAGACTCCGGGCGAAGCGCGGCATGATGAGCTGCTCCAGCGCGCAAGCGGCGCTTCGCTCCAGACCGGCGATCGCGGTGCCCTTTCCCGCATTCTCACTCACATGAACAACGAAGCAATCCACGAGCCACGGGAGTTTGAGCCACCCCAAAACAAAGAGCAACAAATCCCGCTTCATCGCTCCTCGGTGCGTGCGGCGAATGAATTAAAGCCAGTTTTTCTCCGCAAAGTTGGCGTGCCGAGTCTCCATGCTGATCCACACACATACACACACACACACACACCTCCAGTGAACACGGATCGAGTCTGGGGAGGGGATCATTAACATAAACCTGATTCACAGAGAAAGGGAGAGGGGCGCAGATCTTAAAAGGGCAACTGCAATGGCCCCAAAACAACCGGCCAGAGCTGCGCATTCAGATCAAACAGATCTGCATCAAGACTGAGAGAAGAGCTGCATTAAAGACGCTTATCTATGGAAAAGTCACATATTTTGGTTCTGCCCTGCTGAAAAAACAACCATCACAGAAATTCTAATAGTTTCCACTACAAATACCATTACAAACCATCAACTTTTAACCATTAAAACCATTAAAAATGGTTCTCTGTAGGGTGTTTTGGGACATATTCCATTAGGATGTATTGGTTTTAAGAAGCTACCAATAGAAGGTGAACAATTACCAGTAGAGAAGCTTACATTAAAACCAATACAAGTCCCTTTATAACCCATTACAAATTCTGTCTGTTGTTTTTAATCGTTATCTTTTGGTGAGAGAACGTTCTCATGATGTTCACATTTGGTTCCCAAAATATAACCAAGCAGGAAGGAAAATCTCCAAATAACAACTATAAACTAAAATCAAATATTTATGGTCATAGTTTGGTTGAGTTGTTTCTTCTGCTTAGCTATGTAAACAAAATACTCATTTATGAATGCACAAATACAAGTCATGCATTTGAAACCCGCATTAAAACAAGCATTTCAGGCATCAGTGAAAGAGGTCGTTTGTGCGTAAAGCCAGAGCGAGCTGTTTACATGCTTCTTTTAAACTCCGGAAGTGTTTTTTTGTGTTGTTCTGGCGCCCTCTGCTGTCTGTTGTGCATAATCACATTTAAATACCAATACGTTTATATGTACACATATTTGGAGTATTTAAATGAACAGCTGCACCTGTCTTGTGAAGTGCGCTTGTGTTTGCTCACCGCTAGAGGGAGCTGTTCATTTGGAGGAAGACCCTGGATCAAATTAAACACGTTTCCCAGGAAATGATCTACTGAATCTTTACATTACTGTTAATTACTGACTAATGCTACATATGACTTATGGTCTAACACGAGCGTTTAGTAAAACCGATTAATATTTTACTTCACGTATCATAAAGTTCTCACATATATTATCAAATGTTCTAATCTGCCCAGCAACTCGCGGGATTTTTTCTGAGAATAAAAATAGACAAAGTAGCAAAAAAATTATTTTTTAATAATAATAATAATAAATAAATATCAGGAGTAATTGGTAGTAAAGAATCAATAAATAAATACGATACGAACATCCTTATAGCTCTCTTTTGTAACATAAATTTGATTTCTGTTTATTTTGTTTCCTTATACTCCCATACAATAATTAACATATGAGAGAACGATACCATATATAATGAACTATGATTCTGGTTTTATATAATACTAGTTGATTTCGACATTATTAATGTTTTCCAACATGATTTATCAATTACACCCAAAAATTTTACTGACACCTATTTTTTATTTATTTTTTAATCCAAATTTCTCACATGATTAACAGTTTGCCGATTATAAAATAATATACACTTTGTTTTACTAAAATTCAATAAGAACCTGTTAGCATCTCATCAAAAAATAAGACAACTTTCAATACTCAAGACACCTTACAAATGTAATTTATATACAGTACAAACCATTTAGGGCCTAACACCGAACCCTGTGGTACACCACAAGTAACCTTCAATAAATCACGATTCATGCTAACATATTGATATCTATCCTCAAGATACCTTCCTAACCATGAATAAGCTAGCCCTCTTATACCATATCTTTCTAATTTCATCAATAGTAAGCCATGATCAATTGTTTCGAAAGATTTTTTAAAAGCTTCCGTGTATATAAAGATTTGTCTCCCTGCGTCTAGATGACTAAATCTGTAAATCTCCCCTCGACAACCACAAACAGAATTATGTGACTATTCATTCCATTAAGATTAAATCACCAGAGCGGTTAAAAGCGATAAGTGTGTAATTTGTGATAATGACATGGCTATTATATGGCTACTTAGAAAATGAATAACTGTTCATGAAATATTGGTTACGTGTAACTGATTATGTGAGAAGAGAGTGATCGTGATATGACCCGTGAGAAAACCAGAAAACGTTTTATACAAACACAAAGCACGCAGGCTCAGTTTTTCCTGTTTTTATTGTTGCTGGAGGCCCTAATACAACATAAACTGTAAGCTTTACAAAAAACAAAAAAAAATAAAAATAAAAACCAAAAGAAAACTCGACAAATAATAATCCAACCCGAAGAAAACAACGAAACCGTCTGACGCTCCCAGATGGACAGAGAGGGGAATATGTTTGCTGCTTCATGACACAAACACACGTTAAACACACTCGCGTAAAACACACTCGTCTGCATGGACTCGAGCAGAAAGTTTAATATTACCAGCAAGACAATGGTCATAATACATACATACGTGTGTATATTTATATATATATATTTATATAATCACCCGCTCCTCATTTATTCCTGACGCGCGTACGTGACGGGTAAGACTACGAGAAAACTTGTTCTTCTGATGGCGGGAGAAAAGCTCCGCCCCCACTGCGATGATGTCACCGAGAGCCAATCAGACGCTGTCTTAATACAACATGATTACAGACCAGAGAGAGAGAGATGGGTGAGGTGAAACGTGAGCCGAAATACAAAAACAAAAAGCGTAGCCTTTTCTCTTATTTCCTTTGTTTTGCGCAGATGCAGACAGACAGCCTTGAGGTGGAGAGACAGAGAGAGTGAGACAGACAGACGGAGAGAGAGACGGGCAGGTGATCGTCTCTAGCTTTGCTGTTTGCTGCGTTGGCTAAGCACTTGCATCAGGTCGTTCTTCAGAGCCTCCTGCTTCGATTTATCCGCCAGCATCTGAACGCTCCTGAAAAACACGAAAGAAACGAGGGGAGAGTGAGACAGGTTTATTTCGTCAGCGTACAGGTTTCTGGAGAGATTTAAAATCAAAGATCTTTTTCAAGACCTGCACAAATAAAACGAACACCACATGCTGTTAAAGAACAAACCCATACAGCCTTAAAATAAATCTGGTATCTCAGAGATTTACTTTATTAAACAGGCAAACTTACAACAGCAAAACAGGGTAAAACACTCAAGACATATGTATTAAAGTTGTATTAAAATCAATACACACAAATTAGAGGTCCATCCATATTGGATTTTGCTGATACGATAACGAGTTTCAAGTAGTGCTGTCAAACGATTAATCGCGATTAATCGCATCCAAAATAAAAGTGTTTGTTTACATAATATATATGTGCGTATACTGTGTATATTGATTATGTATGTATAAATACACACATGCATGTATATATTTTAGAAAAAAATTATGTTTATATATTAAATATATTTATATATAATATAAAATATAAGAATATAAATACACTGGGACTCTTATTTTGAAATGTTTATGTCTTAAAAGTTCAGCTGCTCATTAAAAAAAAAAGAAGGGAAATATGGGAACAACATACCAATAATTTTAAGTAAAGAAAAAAACGTTTTGCATAATGAGGGACTTCTTATCATAAACAAGCCTGAAATACAGCAGGACTCTTATTTTGAAATGTCTATGCTTTACTACTTCACCTGCTCATTCAAAAAGATGAAAGACATAAAATATGCATCTTATAACCATCTACAACATATTATAATATAAAAACGGTAACAAACACTGTCAATTCGTCAATGGTGCTCAATAATGATTAATACTTTTATTATACTATTTAAGATTTAAGACTTTTTATAGCCTTAAATTTGATCAAACCAAATGTAAGACTTTTAAGGACCCATGTAAACCCTGAGAAAACAACTCAACTGTGCAATAAAAAACGAACTTGACCTCATAAACACTGCATTAAACTACAGTTTAAACCACACTGGAGGTTTATGAACGCTCGTTTAATATTGATGAGCAGTACCCAGAATGCACCTGCATGCAGTTAGTGTGTCTGTTAAGAAGGTGTGCAGGCGAACACACGCAAACAGCTCTGACCCTAGTCAATGTAGATCTGACGCTGGGTCAGAACCTGAGAGAGCTCCCGCTGCAGCTGACGGTACTTTTGATTATCAGGGAGAGATTCGATAGATCTGGAGCCCGACAGCAACAAACCACAGACAGACAGAGAGTGAAAATATGAGGAAACCTCAACAGAATCTGTAATGAATCTGAATCTGTAATGAATCTGAAATGAATCGGACTCTGTAATGAATCTGTAATGAATCTGAATCTGTAATGAATCGGACTCTGTAATGAATCTGTAATGATTCATGTAATGAATCTGAATCTGTAATGAATCTGAACATGTAATGAATCTAAACATGTAATGAATCTAAACATGTAATGAATCTGTAATGAATTTGACTCTGTAATGAATCTGTAATGAATCTGAACATATAATGAATCTAAATCTGTAATGAATCGGACTCTGTAATGAATCTGTAATGAATCTGAATCTGTAATGAATCTGAACATGTAATGAACCTAAATCTGTAATGAATCGGACTCTGTAATGAATCTGTAATGAATCGGACTCTGTAATAAATCTGTAATGAATCTGAATCTGTAATGAATCGGACTCTGTAATGAATCTGTAATGAATCGGACTCTGTAATAAATCTGTAATGAATCTGAATCTGTAATGAATCGGACTCTGTAATGAATCGGACTCTGCAATGAATCAGACTCTGCAATGAATCAGACTCTGCAATGAATCAGACTCTGTAATGAATCTGAATCTGTAATAAATCTGTAATGAATCTGAATCTGTATTGAATCTGAACCTGTAATTAATCTGAATCTGTAATGAATCAGACTCTGTAATGAATCTGTAATGAATCTGACTCTGTAATGAATCTGAATGTGTAATGAATCGGACTTTGTAATGAATCTGAATCTGTAATGAATTTGAATCTGTAGCGAATCTGTAATGAATCTGAATCTGTAATGAATCCGAATATGTAATGAATCTGACTCTGTAATGAATTTGAATCTGTAGCAAATCTGTAATGAATCTGAATCTGTAATGAATCTGAATCTGTAATGAATCTAAATGTGTAATGAATCGGACTTTGTAATGAATCCGAATCTGTAATGAATCTGAATCTGTAATGAATCCGAATCTGTAATGAATCTGCAATGAATCTGACTCTGTAATGAATCTAATGAATCTAAATCTGTAATGAATCTGTAATGAATTCGAATCTGAAATGAATCCAAATATATCTGTTAACGTAATAAGTGACTTAATAAAACAAAACAAAACTGTATTGGACATTCATATGAGAAATATGGAAACTGGGTAAAAAGTCAATTTTCTGATTCATAAAAGAAAAACACGTTAATCTATTCAGTATTTTTTGCTGGCTGTGCGCAATACCATACAACACGTCTGATTCATAAACAAATGACTCTTATGAACCAGTTCTTTGAATGATTCATTCAAGAAGACTTGCTAACTCAGAGGTTACTGTCTGAATGAGTTTACTAAATTGGACTCACTGAATCACTTACTATTATTAAAATAATAAACAGAACTCGAACGGCGTAACCTAAAAAAATTATAATTCAAAACAAATAAAAAATAATAAAATACAAATACATGAATTAAATAATTACAATAAATGATAAAATTATAAATATAATATGAAAAGCATATATACAGTATATATATATATATATATATATATATATATATATATACACATACATATACACACACACACACAGTCACACTTGCACTTATATACTTGCACAGCACTTAAAGTGCATAGTCTAAAACAAACAAAATAACAAATAATAAAGAAATGAAAAATTAATAAAATATAAATAAAAACAGATGCATTTAAATAATGAAACAAAGAATATCT